TCCTTCTCTATGGGGCTACGCAGCCGTACGTCCCCCTATGCTGGCCCGCCCTGCACGTCTGTAGGAGTGGATCATGTATGCGTCCCGGCCAGAAAACCCGCACCCCTACGGACCTGCAGTTGAGGTGAGCGTAGGGGGGCGTATGGCCGCGTAGCCCCATAGAGAAGGACGGGGGCTGCTTACTAATCGCACTCAGCACCTGTCCTTCCTGGCAGCTGCTTGGTACAGCCCCGCACACAGCACGGATCGGTATGTGCAGGCCGATTCGTGTGTGTATTGGGCCTAAGGGGGGTATGCACTGTGTTTAAATATAAACCAAACCCCCAAGCTAGAATTTTTATAACTTCTTCAGCTAACCTGAAGTTTCCTAGCAAGCAAAATAGATTCTCCCTTGTCTCCCACTTTTGAGCAATTTTCCAGATAAATATTATTTGATTGGAAAAAACGCACATCAAAAGGAATGAGGCAGGAGAATATACACATTATTTATTAAGACAGTCCAATTCACAATGAAAAATATAACCCAATTATGCCAGAAGCAGGTGCATTAATTCCTACCGTTAAGCACATAAATATGCACATTTTCTTCATACAAGACCTTGATGAATCAGCAATCACTCTGCTTGCATTTGAATGAAGCTCTTACAGTATAGCAATGAAACAAATGTTTTTTTCCCCAAAATAAACCTGGAAGTTTTGCTTGCATATCATTTTTATGAGCTATATTAACCAGTTGCTTCCACTTTGTTATAATATCGCTAACAGTTGACTGTGGAATATTTAGTAGCAAGGAATTTCATGGAATATCTGAATCCAATGGTTTGGAGGGGTGTCCCAATACCTTTGGCGGCAATATAGGGTGTATATATATATATATATATATATACACACACACAGACACATACACACATACATACGTAACATATACAGTGGTTGAAGTTGGAAACCCAAATGTGATATCGCAATGTTTTGGGTAATGTTTGGGCAATGTTTTCCAGGCAGTTTATTTTATCTTCCGGGAACTTCCTTAATCTTGCTTGTCCCCCATTTCAAAGAAGAAAAAAAAAGCCGTCATTACAGACCTCTTTTAAAAAATTATATTTGCCTTGCTGTAATGTTGATGATTTGTCAGTGATTCCAAAAATATAAAATGAGGGGCAGGAGATCTCCATTTTATTGCTGGATAACCACTTTAATAACATGTCCACTGTGGCTTTTAAATGGCAATTGTCCTGACACAAAGTAACAGGCCTGCAATAGTTGCAACTGGATTAAAAGGATTAGAAGACAGACACAAAAGCCATTATTTGGCAGGACTTTACAAAAAAAACTTACACAATGAAAATGGATTTGTCTAACTGTCAGGGTGGTGTGCTTTCAGAACAAAACTTCAAGGGCCTAAAAGTGACAGAACCACCTAATGTGGCATCACAGCCTGGGAAAACCAGCTTTTGTAACTCTTTTCCAAATCAAAGCGGATGTCATTCAATTATTTTCTGCCTTCACGAAAAGTGCAGCGTGAGCAAGTGTAAGCAAGAAGACACAGAGGCCAAAAGATAAAGATTTCTTAACTGAAAATATCTTTGGTAAACATAAAGAACTTGTAACATATACTTCGCATGTATGGACATCTCCTTCAAGACCTTGGTATTACATATGGTGCAAAGTATAACTATGTTATAGGAATGATAATGAAAAAGAGAATGTGTACAAATGTATTTGCCTGTGCACCTTGGCTCAAAGGGCATGCAACTATCTGTTCTTCCAACCTTCTTCCAAGGTCCGTGACAAATCTAACCTTTCCTATAAGCAACTGTTCCACCCATGAGGTCTTCCGGAGCTGTTCTAAAACTGCTGGCAAGCATAATTCCTCGAAGTGTTTCCATGGA